CTTTTAATTGATGTGCTTGACCTGTTAGCATTTAATATGATGACTAATTTGGTTGGTTTTAGGTCTATCATTTTAAAATTTATGTTTGTTTCTTTTAAAAAGTCCTCCTTTCCTGCTTTCTTCTGAACTATTTGAAAGTTTTTACTTTTCTATTTTAGTTTGTCTGTTGGATTTTTAGCTATATCTCTATATCTCTTTGCATTATTTTTCTAGTGGGATTTTTCTTTCTTTTTTTTTTTTTTTTCATAGAGCCAAGTCAGAATATAGTGGTTGCTTTAGGGATGACAACACACATCCTTAACTTTTCACAGTCTTCTGTAATATCGTTCCACTTCACATAAAATGTAGAAACGTTTCAATCTCATAGGTTTATTTTTCACTGTAGTTGTATCACATCTACATATGGTAAAAACTACAATTTAATGTTATTATTTTTTGCTTTAAACAGTCTTACATATTTTATAGAAATTAAGAAGGAAAACGGCCTTTTGTATTTATTCTGGTATTTACTATTTCTGATGTCAAATTTCTACCTGGTATCATTTTCCTTCAGCCTGAACAATTTCCTTTAGCATTTCTTGTAGTACAGGTATGCTGGTAATGAATTCTCTTAATTTTCTTTTATATGAAAATGTCTTTATCTACCCTTGTTCTTGAAAGATAGTTTGACATTCTTTTTTTTTTTTTTGTGACCGGTAAGGGGATCGCAACCCTTGGCTTGGTTTCTGCACCGCGCTCAGCCAGCGAGCGCACCGGCCATCCCTATATAGGATCCGAACCCGCGGTGGGAGCGCCACTGTGCTCCCAGCGCTGCACTCTGTGCCACGGGCTCGGCCCAGATAGTTTGACATTCTATTAACGGGTTGACAGGCTTTGAAAGAACAAAGTTCTTTTTTTTTTTTTTAAAGATGACCAGTAAGGGGATCTTAACCCTTGGCTAGGTGTTGTCAGCACCACACTCAGCCAGTGAGCGAACCGGCCATCCCTATATGGGATCCGAACCCGTGGCCTTGGTGTTATCAGCACCGCACTCTCCCGAGTGAGCCACGGGCCGGCCCCGAAAGAACGAAGTTCAAATGATGTTGTTCCACTCTCTTCTAGTTTCCATAGTTCCTGAAGAGAAGTCATCAGTCCCTAATTCTTTGTTCTCTGCATGAAATGGGTTTTCTATGACTACTTTTAAGATTTTTTTTCTGTATTTGCTTTTCAGCAATTTGACTATGATGCACCTACACATGGTTTTCTTTGAGTTTATTCTAGTTGGGGATCATGGAAATTCTCAAACATAAAGGTAAATTTATGTCTCTCACTGAATATAGAAAATTACAGGCACTATTTTTTCAAATTCTTTTCCCTGCCCATTCTTTCTCTCCTCTCTTTTTCTAATTTCAGTCATGCATATGTAGACATTTTGATATTGTCCCATAGGTCTCTGAGGCTCTTCCCCCCTCCCCCTCCCTTTTTCGGATTGGATGTATTCTGTTGATACATGAGGGTACTTCAAAAAGTTTGTGGAAAAATGGAATTAAAATACAAATATTTCCTTGAACTTTTTGAAAACCCCTCATATTACCGAGTTCACTGGGTTTTTTCTCTGTCATCTCCCCTATTCTGTTAGGCTTTCAGTTAACTTTATATTTAAGATATTTTAATTTTCAATTCTAGAATTTCCATTTTAAAATATAGTTTCTAGTTACCTGTTGTGATTTTTAATTTTTTCACTTGTTAAAAGCATATTTTCCTTTACATCAGTGATTACAATTATAACAGTTGCTTTAAATTCCTCATTTGCTAATTCTATCATCTGGGCCCTATCAGTGGTAAATCTCCATTACTTTTTTATTTAAACAGATAACATTCTTCTCTTATTTCTGTATTATTCCATTTCTGTTGATTATAACAAAACACCTGGGACTGTGTAATTTCTAAGAAAAACTGCTTACAGTTTCTGAGTCTGGGAAGTCCAAAGTTTGGGGTACACATCTGGTAACAGCCTTGGAGGTGGTGACAGTGACGTCAGGGTATTGCATTGTGAAATGAATGGTGGAGCAGAGAGAACTAACTTCCTTACTCACTCTTCTTTTAAAGCCCTACAAACCATGCCTGTGACCACCATTTTTAATCCATTCACTATAGCATGGTCCTATAACCTAATCACGTCTTCAAGACTCTACCTTTCAATTATCATAATAGGATTTACCACCCTCTTAACACTGTCACAGTGGGGGGTCAAGTTTTGGGGGGACACTCAATCCAAGGCACTTTGTATATTGAGTGATTTTGGATTGTGTCCTGGACATTGTGACAGTTTGTGGTGACTTTGGGTTCTCTTATATTAACTCCAAGAGTGTTCATTTTATTTTTTGCCTATGTTAGCAGGCAATGGACTTGGCAGAACTCAAATGCAAACTCAGTCCTTCACACATCAGTTCAAACCACATTTCAGTTGTTTTATTCTTAGCCAAGCTTCTTTGAGTCTGCTCCACACGTGTAGTTCCGTTGTCAACCAGAGATCTAGGCAAAGTTTATAAACATAACTTATCTCACCTTCTCCAGCTTTCTCCTTTCTGGATGTCCCCTTACTTTCCAGAGGTTGTCATTGCCCCAACTCTATATTCTAGCTCTTCAGGCCAGACAGCTTATGGTTTTTATTGAAGTTTTATCTGTTCTGCATGACATGGACTGTGATCTGGCCTCAGGTTAGAAGCTGTGAAAATGGACAAAGACCCTCTATAAGTTAGGTATAGACGGAAAGTATCTCAACATAATTAAAGCCATATATAATAAACCCACTGCCAATATCATCCTGAATGGGGAAAAGCTGAAAGCCTTTCCATTAAGATCAGGAAACAGACAAGGATGCCCACTCTCACCACTCCTATTCAACATAGTGTTGGAAGTACTAGCCAGAGCAATCAGAGAAGAGAAGGAAATAAAGGGCATCCAGATTGGAAAAGATGAAGTCAAACTGTCCCTGTTTGCAGATGACATGATACTATATATTGAACAGCCTAAAGCATCTACAAAAAAACTCTTGGAGGTGATAAATGAGTTCAGCACAGTAGCAGGATACAAAATCAACACACAAAAATCAGTAGCATATCTATTCCCCAATAGTGAACATGCAGAAAGAGAAATCAAGAATGTCTGCCCATTTACAATAGCCACCAAAAAAAAAAAATACTTACGAATTGAGTTAACA